AAAAACCGTGTTTTTGAGACATAATTTGTATGGGCTCACATGAGGGGGCGTGAGCTTGAAATCGYAGCTGACCAAATGTTAACAGATTTTTTCTGATGAATAAATAAATAGATAAAATATTGTAAATCTCATTTGCCCAATAACCTCCAATCCACAGGTTCCATCATCACAGGATTTTTTGACGAACCATTGGATCTTTCCTGTAATGAAAATAATGATACTAAGCAACCAATAGAAAAGCTAATTGTTACTCTTCACTTGAGAAATACTACTGATACAACTATAACTAAATTTGTTTCATACGATGGTACCAAAGTTTGCAATGAAGATCATTGGCTGTATCATATATGCCTGTCACAGGTGACGTCATATTTGACCAAAGATGATCAAGTCCATTTCGTTATCATGAATCCTCCACCAACACTCAATAATTGTGAGACTTACTGTGCGTATGAATACAAATATTCGACTACCGACAGTCTTAGTCCAGGACCTGTTCGAACGATTAAACTTCGAGGTTTGTAAACAATTGCTCTGCATGACCATGCATATATTTTACAACCATCACTCCTGTACGTACATTACGTACGGGGCTCTTCCGTGAGGTTCGCGCAAGATCCACATACACTATTCATAATATACAGCACTTAACTCACGTGTTGATTTTTACGGAGGGAGAATTTACTGCGATTTTTATAAACATGCGAACTCTATGAGATTTTGTAATGATTTAGGACCACAATTATTATTATTATTATTATTATATCATCATCATCATAATCATCATCATTGTTATCGTTATCATTATCGTTTTTGTCATTGTCATCATCATTGTCATTGTCATTGTTAACTATGACGATGAATTGGGGATCATTATTTTCCTATATAAGCAAAAGGGCAAGTACACCGTCTTCACAGTTTCGAATGTCCCGTTAATTGTGTGTGTGAAACTCTTCTACGTGAATGATTGTGACCATTTTGACTGAAATTCAAAAGCTAGTGCTCGCGTCATCTTAAGATTTTGATTGTTCTTGTTGTTCTTGTTCTTGTTTTTGTTTTTTTAAATATTGTTGTTGCTGTTGTTGTTGTTGTTTTTGTTGCTGTCATCGTTGTTGAGGTTCACTTATCCCAATTAAAGATAATTTCTTTATTGGTTTCAGAAACTATGGCAACTACTGCAGCTACAGCAGCTACAGCAACTACAGCAGCTACAGCAACTACAGCAACTACAGCAACTACAGCAGCTACAGCAACTACAGCGACGATGACCCCAACAAAAGAAACGACGACCCCAACAAAACAAGGTTAATAATATTTATTATTCTATTGTCAGTTGGAAACAAATGATAAATACCACAGAAATACAGTAAAAACCCGCGTATAAGAACCTAAAATTTAAGAACCAGTTAGGCTAAAATTTCATTTTTAAGCACCCTTCACATAAGAACCATTTTAGGCTAAAATCCTAAAACAGGTTCTTATTTTTAAAAAAGAAAAAAAAAATAGAATCAATCCTTCAAAAATATGTTTATAACAGTCTGTACACAATAATGCTATAAACACTATAACTGTACATGGTTACTGTAAAGAACATGTCCTCACTGAATAAAAACATCCAACTTAAAATGAAACTTTATTTCATTTCTTGAACAAAAGTTAAGAACCTAATTAAGAACCTAGTTAGCCTAATTTAACACTAAATACCATTTACATAAGAACCTGTTTAGGCTAACTTGAAAAAACCTAGGTTCTTATACGCGGGTTTTTACTGTAGTGAACATGGTGCATTGTGGTCTATAGCTTAGGTACAAACATCTCTTGTTCATCATGCCTTATATAGTGGTGTTGGTACATGGTACCGAAGCTAGACCACAAATGCACATCATTTGACGAATTCATAAAAGATTCAGTTGTGCTGACATGATATTGAAAAGAAAAAAAACTTTTGGCTGATCAAAAACACAGAGAAAGGTTAATTATGATTGTTGTTTGATTACTGAGCAAGCCCAAAACAAATGGCGAATATCACAGGGTCTCACAGTTATCTGTGGTTTGGTCAGCTTTACATGAATCTTTTATTTTAAAAAAAGAATATCGAGATAGCGAACTAGGTGCATTGTGGTATAGCTTGGGTACAAACATCTTTTGTTCATCATGTTTTATTCGGTGTTTTTTGATACCCAAGGTAGACCACCTGCACCTCGTTTGTCGAATTCAGAATCGATCCATCTGTTGTGCTGACATGATATTGAAAAAAAACTTTCATATTTTATCGCGCAAAAATAAAAAATAAAAATAAAAATCTCTGGGCTGATCTAAGTCAGGGTAGGCTAACTCCTCACAGATTAAACCCTGAAACACCCTCTGGATTGATCTAAGTCAGGGCGTGGCTAACTCAAAGATCAAACCCTAAAACAACCTCTGGGCTGATCTAAGTCAGGGCACGGCAAACTGACAGATCGAACCCTGCAACAACCTCTGGGCTGATCTAAGTCAGGGCACGGCTAACTCACAGATTGAACCCGGAAACAACCTTTGGGCTGATCTAAGTCAGGGCATGGCTAACTCACAGATCAAACCCGGAAACAAAACCTTCTTCGTCGCGACAGAAACAATCGCTAGAGGGTTTCAATATTTATAATCAACAAATGCTCTAATCAAGCGGCCCATAGTTTGTCGATAGTTTTAATTGATCAAAAGTATGTCTTTTCTTTATCCCACGCTCTTCCCTTTAGGACCTGTTCACAGACTTTATTGGATTTTTTTTAGCTCAGACATATTTTTCTTCTTTGTTTTTAAATGAAAAAGGTTTGACGGGTAAAGCAAAAGCTGGCATCGTTATTGGGTGTGTCCTTTTTGTTGCTATAGTGGTTGGAATTGTGTGCTGGTGGAAACGAATGTGTTGTTTTCGACAAAACAACAACCCGATCCCGACCAATGAGGATGACGTGAATGATGAAGATCGCCACGTTACAGTGCAAATCGAAACACTGTGGGCACCTAGAAATATTCTAGGAATGTTATATGGATCTCCTTTGGCCAATCAGAATTGACTTTCAAACAACAACATAACGGAAGGATAACAATAACGCTTCTGATTGGCCGATTAAACATTTATGAAATATTTCTAGATGCCCACTGTTTTTCGATTTGCACTGTTATTGGTTGACATGACAAAACGACACCAAGACCAAATCTTTTGTTGGTTAAAGTCAACCAAATTGATGGCTATGACGTCACATGCACCCTAAGAATTGCTTGCCACTCTAACTTTGATAAGTCTTCACATTCGAGCTCGTTAAAAAAATACATAGAGGATATTACATGGGCGCGCGGAGATACGAAATTTATAGTCCAGTAGCAGAGTCCGGAAAATAGGGGTTTCGTTCAACTCACAGGTTAGAAAAGGTTTGACACCAGATTTTAATAGCAAAAGACCTCTTGAATAACCCAGAGCAGTTTTTAATGTTGAAATGTGGTATAGGTTCCGAATT